TATATCTTTTAAATTTGTTGTGGGCTGTCAAACTTCCTAAGTGATTTAGACCATTTTCAAATCCTCATAAGTATTTTAAACCTCTTTCAAAAGCTGCTAAGTATATTTTTAAACTCTTTCAAAACCTGCTAAGTATGTAAACCATTTTCAAAACCTGCTAAGTAATAACTTTATAATGCATTATAAATGCAAAAATGCCCATTTAACTATATTTTATGTTAAAAAACATATCATTTACAGCTAATCTTACTACTGGAACAAAAACCAGAATCCTAGGATTAGCGCATCATTGTGTTTTAGAAAAATGTGTTTTTCTCAAAATCAATCTAAAGTGACTTAGCAGGGTTTGCAATTGCACTCCTCATGTCATATCGAAATACGCAATTCAAATTCTTGCTCCAGGCGACACGCCAGGCTCCATGCGCAGAAATTTCAGGCACCCCAAATGCTTTTATACATAACGAGCGAGCCAATATAGGGAAATAATTTATTTACATTTTTGTTTGTTTGTTTGTTTTGTTTTTGTTTTAGGGAAGTTGGGGGGGGGGGGCAATAGCGTTTCTTTTAAATAAGGTTCCGTTTCTCAAACACAAAAATATGTTTGTCTTATTCCGAAAAATATAAGGTAGTACCTTGCATAGTTTTATTATATGTAGGGCCTATATTTATAGGAACTGCCGCTGTGGCAGATGAGGTGGTTTCGGGAGGGGGAGGGGCGTTGGAAAAGTGGGCAAAGTGCTCCGTATTATTGTATCTGGCAATACTATTGATTATTAATTAATACGTCATGCGATATAAGTGTCAGAACTAGGAATGGACCATTTAAAAACAAGCAAGCAAAAATAATTGCATTTCTGTAAGATTATGTGTGACCTATGACTATGACCAATGGACATTTACAGAATTTGTTTGTCGGGGAGATATGATTTAGGTTATTAATATAAACTTCAGTTTAAGTTTAATAAATTAATGTTATTTTGCCAACTTATATTCACGAACATTTAATTTTTTTGAATTGATACCGGGGCCGAGTCCCCACTACGAGCAATGTGCTAACGAACAAAACTGCTTGATTAGCCATGCGTGACAATGTCGTAAGTGGGTCATACACCTGAGACGAAGCCTCGATTTCGGGACAGCGGACTCGGGGGGAATAGTATCAAGATGGCTTCTACGACCATGGGTCCAATGCTAGGCATTGTCATCCTATTAGCGTCTACTGGTATTTGTCAGGGTAATTTCCATTTACTTGACTTTTATTAACTTTATTATCATTTTAGTGTCCCGCGAGTTGTAATACGTTTAAATTCAACAGAGGGTCTCTCTTTACCTTGAACGAAGAGGTAGGCCGCGATATTTATGTTAGTAAAACCCGGAAATGGCTAGTTTAGTCCACAAGCCACATTATTTGTTGAGTTATTTATGTAAACACACTCAAACGTATAAGTAATAAGTAGTTTTACGTACAATTTAATGTTAATAATTTGATTTGGGGAGAGTCGTTAGTAAAGCTGTTAACTTGATTAAAAGTTACTAACCCGGGAATATTTGTCAACTAAAACATTTACCATCTCAACATTTATTGTGCATGCATAACCGTCATAAGTCATAGTACTCATACTTCATCATACTCATAGCCCATAGGCATCATAGCATGAATAATATCATATTAGGATACGGATAAGCTGAGATTGAGATGGTATTAACCTAGGCCTAGGTCCAGATATGATGTCAATGAAGGCGGCATGGGTATATTGTGATTAGAATTTAGAGAGATATGCAAAGAGTAAGACTCACTATCACTAAGACTAAGACATTAAGACTCTACAAATTAAGTAATAGAATAGACTATAGACTAAGTCATGGTTTTCAATTTCTTTTATTTCACAGTCAGTTATGACAGTTACTAGAACATATTCTTATAATTATAATTGATACGTTTAAGTAGGTCCAATATTATATGTTTAGACATGACACACCTGGCTATGAGGCTATGACTACTAATTACTACTCTGAGTCTAGTGTCAAGACACAACTGTTGACAGTCAATGAAATAGACAATTCAATAGGCAATAGGCCTACTAGTTCTTCTCGTAATAGACTGAGACATTTAAAGTAAAAAAAATTCAGTATCTCTACTATATAATTAAGTATAGTAGTAGAATAACTAATATAGCCTATACTAGACTATGAGTCTACAGACTACATTTATTTTCATATTATTTTTTATTTTAATGTGTCCTTTTAACTTTTAATAATTAAAAAAGTTGTTATATAAAAGTATTAAATTACATTTCATTACATGCCTCACGAATCCCTGTTAACTGTTATATTTTTGTATCCACAGGTCAAGTTACAGGAAATTGTGAGATTCCAGAGTCTTATTGGGGTGATTGGTACTCCATGGAAGTAGGTCGGGATGTCTTCACAATTGTGTCTAAAGATAAGTGGGGAGACATGGTGTGTCTTGACAGACACAATCACCCAATCGAAGGATCTTTCGTCCAAGGAATTAACACAACCATGCTAATGAGAAAAGCGGAGTATGTACCATTATTTTAACAATTATTAGAGTCTCATAGTTTTATTATATGTTGGGCCTATATTTACATATATGTTTAAATATATATATATATATATCTGGGGAAGCTACACCATCTTGTTATGGAAATAAACAGATGTCAACAATTTATATAAGTTTATGAAGAAATTATTGTTTAACTGTTACATTTTTGTTATAATTTCTTGGCGTGTAAATCTCTAAAAGCTTTTAAACAAATAATAATTTACTTGTCTATACTGCTACTGTTTACTTCCTTCTGTTTTTCAGTGGCAGTGATACTTGTCTGACCTGTGTTGATATCCTGTGGAGAACATTAAACATTCTCCAGTATAAAAAAAGTAAGATAGAGTAGAAATTAATTAAACACTACAAGCATACTTCCTTATTTTGACAGGATAACTGGAGATGGAGACCGGAAGCACAAAGTCAAAGCATGATCATTATTCAGCCTTCAAATGCTTAAACTTATGTAGCCACAAATCAAATTTAAACTATCTAATACCAATGGACATGTGCAATCCCTAAATAAATAATAATCCTTTTTTTTACTACCAAGTTGAACCAATTTGTTAGAAAGAACGATTATAATAACCAGACAACAAGTTTACTTTGTTATCCTGCATGTTATTCAGTCAATTTGTAAAACATCTAACAAAACTTACTTCAAAACTTAACTTGGATTTGTAGATATATATAGTCCTATGTAAATGATATCCATGATATGTTTATTCATAATTGTTTTTGTTTTTTTTTTTCAATTTCAGGTGGCTGTTTTACAACTAATATTGGATTTGAAACTATGTGTAAAGGTGTCAACAAACTTCCAACCCAGGACCAAGTGATTACACTTTTTCGTAAGCTTGAGATTGTTAACTCATTATGTTTTATAAATTAACCTTTTTTTAAAAAACAAAAGTAAGAGAGAAAACTTATAAAGCATTCTAACAATGAATTTTTATAGCAAAAAATTAATTGAGATTAATGCAATAAAGTGTATCAATATTTTTTGTTCAGGTCAGACACTCAAGACTGTGAACTGTATAACAACATGGGAGGGTGTGTATCAGTTCACCTATGAAGTCAACTGGGGAGGTGGTGGCATCTGTGATAACCCAGACAGCATTGTCAAGGCTTGCCAGGATCCGGGCTCAGCTTACGTTGACAACCAGGTGTTCCTCATCACCTATGCCAGGTGTCCCAGTGTGCAGACGTCCAGATCTCAGAGTGAGTTTACAGTTTTTCGGTACTGCAATAGTTATTTATATAGAACAATGAATAATTTTATACAACTGCCAAATCTGCAATAATTCTTTGTTTGTTTTAATGCATGATTTTTAATTTGGTTGGTAAGTTGGCAGATGTTTTATTCAGGATATGTAAGGAAAAATTGAGCTAAAATACCAAGTTCTGGTATCAAATAATTATTTTTCATGTACCTTTTTGTTTTTTCGAGCGTTATTAAAACTTTATGTGCATATAAATATTTACACAAACAGGATTTGGCTCCTGTTCAGATATATACCTCTATCAACATAACTGAGACATTAGATATTTTAATTCTACAGCTATACGTTACCAGTGTATGGGGAACTGGTTCGCCGTAGTTGGAGGAATCGGCTACTCATTTGCTGCTGTTGCCGACACTGTCCAGAAGGACACTAGGGAGAAATACAAATGCATGGTAAGAGACTGGGTCTTTCTCTTAAGGGGAGGTGAGAAAAATCTGGGTTATATGAGTAATTCTGGGTTTTGGTATAACAGGTGTCTTAAACCATATTTTTTTTGTTTTGTTGCTGGGTGGCAGAGTGGTCTAAACTGAGCGAATCTCAGGTTAAGGGTCAGAGTTCAATCCCCACCAAAGACCTAGTCAAGCCAAAACATCACAGGCACCCCATGTGGATGGGACTCTTTAACCTTGGATGGCAACTTATCTAAGAGAAGGAAACTCTGAATTCAAACCGGGAGATGGAATCCCATAGGCGGTTAACATTGGTGCAATGAAAAATTCCGACAACTCCTGTGACGCCACTGGTGCCAAGCTCTATCATCCATTTGATGTTCCCTTGGGTTATCCAGCGGCGTGGAGAGAGGCGATTTGCTGTTGGGAACCAGCTTATAATCCTAGAAGAATAATCCCAGGCCTTGTTAATTTCGCCCAGTGAAGTCTACACCACCATCACATTGTGACGGACGGATGCCAGCAAAAGAGCAATGACCCCGGACAGTATGTGTCAAAAGTGACAGTACTGAAACGCCGGCATCTTGAACTTGTACATGGATTTGTAAATGATGCATAGCTCCAGTTGCCAATAACCAAAAGGAAGATACGAGGTGCAGTGGTATTTGGAAATGGGTCTCTTGACTGAGGAAAAAGTTTTTAAAGTTGACCATTATTTTAACTTATATGCAAGCGGTCATAAACGGGAGCAAAGTTTAAAAATTTTGCCGAGTTATTCCAAGAGAGCTTTAATTAGATGGCAGCAATTAGCACAGTTTTGTTGTCACAAAATTTTCCCCATCCATTATTGAAATGAACTATGTCAACCAGAAGGGGTACGATGGATGAGGAACATCGGACTACATAATATGAGATATTCCATTAAATTGTCAGAAGGTGATACAAAGGACCACATAGAGTTGTGTCCCCTTGACCCTGATGAGGACTTAAAGAAAGAAAATGCATACCATATTTTACGGACTATAAGTCGCTACGGGCTATAAGATGCACCTTAATTTTTAAGCAATTTAAAAAAATAACATATAGATATATATTATGTTAATTTCGAGTATAAGACACACCTGAATTTTGGAGGCCATTTTTCAAAGAAAAAAGTGTGTCTTATAGTCCATGACATATTTAATCATGTATGCAAATGATGAGATGCACTGCTCTTCCTAAGGAGGTCGAAGTGGCAAGAACCGACTTACACAAAATGCCATTAGGGGTCTCTCCATTTATTATACTGGGGTCATCGGAGGCAACAAGACAGCAGCAGATATGAAAAGGGCAATCATGGCCTCTCTCCGCCGCTGTTTTTTTTTTTTTTTTTTGTGACAGTTCTGGAACCAAGTCATGGTTTGTATCCAACTCACAATGACTCGTATTATTTTTATAGCTTTGCATGTGTTTCCTGGTACTCGTGAACACAATGTTCATGCATCGTTGGACATAAAATTCCTGGAAAAAAAATCTACTGCCTTTCTATAAAAGGCTTACATCGCTAGAGCTATTGTTAAGATGTGGACAGAACACTAATGAAATCCTACATTCCGTCATATTGTTTCGCTTTGGAAAAGGCAGTTTTTTCTCAATGCATAGTGTTGAATTTTCAGCCTATAGGTGCACTGCCGAATACAACTTTGCACCTATATATATATATAAATATATATATATATATATATATATATATACCTTTATATATGATATAAAAAGTCAGGAATATGATTTAGGACTGTCTAATAATTCTAACAGCCTGAAAAGCAATGGAAGGAAGAAACGGCTTTTGATGAAACAAAATTTTAAGAAAGGGAAAGACAGACAATAGAAGAGAACTTGTAAGAGAGGCAAGGAGTAAAAGACAAGAGGAGCTAGAAATAATTGAATAACTTAACTTTTTTAAAAAACATTCTTAGAAGGGAAAATTATCATAAACTTTCTACTCACCCCCTAGCTTTGACTTGGAAAAATATAGACTTTTTGCCAAGCTATATTTTTATAACTAATGCTGGTACCTTAATAGAAATGTCCTGTTACTAAATGTGTTGTTATATGCCAATGCTCTATGATTTAAATTGAATAGTCATAACTTCAAGTAGAAAAAAAGCCTTAACATCAAAAAATTATACAAAATGGAGAATGTTTTTGTGAATTACCATTACCATGGCAACCAACATCATTTTTACTTTTAAAAAATTGTTTTGTACATATACTGTGACAACTAAATATGGATATATTTTATTTAAAATCCAATAAGAAGCCAAATATTTTTTTTTCACCTGCACCGCTCATTTGTATTTTTTTTTTTAAAGTAAAGGCCTTGTATTTTTATTAATTATAGAAATCAGGTTGTAAATTGTGGCTGCTGTCCAACTTTTCATATTTTTAACAATTTTATGTGTAACAGATTCTTAAACATTTATTTATTTATTTTTAGATGACCCTGAAAAACCAGAAGCAGGCTGATAACTCTATTCGATGGGTCATGTCTCGTTTTGCCGACTGCAGTGGTCTTAACAGCTTGTACGAGGCTCCAGTTAGGATTGTGCTCAGGAGAGGTCATTATTTTATTGTTTCAAATATGAGATGTGACAATTTTATTTAATAGCTTGAATTGCCTGCATTTTGTTATATGTAAGTGTTGAACATTTTTTGCTCTTTCTGTCAATGGCAGTGTTTTAGCAAATTATTATTTTTATTACATAAAAGGGATTATATGAGAGGTAACATCTTACTTTGAGTTACTCTATACTTTTTTGTTGTTGTTTTTGTTGTAGTAAAATGCACACATAAACTATGTATTTACATTAAAGTCTTGCAACACCAGGGTGAACATTTAATGACAAGCTATGTTGCCCGACACAACATTTCAAACTTGCCAAGTTATATATATATTTATAAATTGATGGATGAAAATGGATGTTAGTTGAAGGCTTTGGGCTTTATTTTAATTTCATCAAATTTTCTTTCAGTCCCACCACAGACACCCTACATTACCCCTCAGTGCAACTTGCCCAGGAATGTTTCTGGAGAATGGTACACCCAAGGCATCCAGTTCAAATCTCGCGTCGTCATCAACGACACCCACATTCACTACTTCACCACCAAGAATGAGTTTGAATTTGAAGAGACCTACCTCTCGTGTCAGCAAACTTTGGGAACCAGATATCTCATGACCAAATACATTGTAGGAAAATGGTAGGGTATATAAAAAGTTTTAATGCTTTGAACTTTTATTTTTTTTTAAATCTGTATAAAATGCAGGAAGACTGAGCTGTTAACAATAATATAAGAAGGAATCAATTATGAAAAAAATTATCGTTTTAATATATTTAAAACATCTCTCTCATCTTCCCACTCATCCACCCAAATTTCCATTATTTTCCAAAACCACAATCCAGAACCTTTAAAATAGTCTTACATTTTCAATTCATCAGGAAATCCTTACCTTTAAAATGATTTGCATTGTGTGCCAAATTTTTTTTCTCTGTTAGTGCATAAGATTAAGAAAAAGTGTTTGTGGTTTACCAGACTGTGTCGTTGTACATTTGACATAACTGAGCTCTCACCTTTTCCTTTGAATGTGCTTTCAGTGAAGTTGACTTTGTGTGTTATGATATCCTTCCTAGACATCATGGAGTCGTCCGTTACAGAGTGGGTAAGTGTCCATTCCTTGAGCAATTTGGTACGACAAATTGCAATCAGGAGCTGGAAGTATTAGGAGATAAGTCAGCTTAACAAAAGTGGTTATATTACAGTTAAATCTTTCTCAAAAAAAGACAAATGATTTACAACATAAAAATTGAATGGCGGCATTTCAACTTGAAGGATGTTGTATATGTGGAGGATGAGATGTTAATTATTCACATTATAATTTCAAAAAGACAAGTCACCTGTAAAGAAAATGCAGAAAGAGTAATAGGAATATGAACTGTTATAAAAAAAAATGTGTTTTTAGATGGAAACTTTCATTTTTCTTCTTTCATAATCATACATTTATGAAAAACATTTTATTTATTAAATGATTTGACTTTAAAAATTTCAGAAGGTTTTTGTACATGTCAAAATCTCTCTAACTTCTTATAAATTATTCATAATTTTGTTCTGACTGTCAGGCTTAAGATTGGACAACATTTAAAAATTATTTTCCTCTTCTACAGGCAAACCTTCAAGATTAACACCTGAAGAACTTGCAGATCCCCAGTTCATGACTGTGAAGTTCAGAGAAGTTTGCAGTTGGCAGTCCTTTACATTTAACCGCAATGACACGGACTGGAAGTATGAGGTCCTGATAAGTGAGTGAAACAGACACTGACAGGGAAACGCTCTGTGTAGGGTAACAGAAAAGTAGCATTGGCCTCGACAGTAATGACACAATTTTTTTTTTCCTATTCATTTCAAAAGAATAGTGAGCTGATTGCATAAGTTTGGAATTTACACTAAGTGTTAAATATTTAAATATATTTTACTTGTGATGCCATTAAAAATTCAACATGTTTTGCATTTGTATCATTCATACTATTTAAAAAATCAAATGTACTCTATTAATTATTCTGTTTTTAATATAATGTTATTTGAATTTTGAAAATATGAGCAAATTTGTGTCTGAGGAAGTTTTTTTTGTTTAGTTTTAACAATGATCTTTTCTAGGATGTTATTTAAATGAAAATATTTTGTTTTCTGAATTATTTGTTCCTTACATTGTTTTGTTTCAATGAAGCAGTTGTTTTCTAACTAAAAAAAATTAAATGTTTTAAATACCTGATTTCAGGGGAGCAGGTGGGAGGCTTTAGGATATAACCAATTACGCAAATAGAATGAATTGTAAGAACATAATATCATACCTGATTTTATTTTCTTAGTGGATCCCCCATCTCCTGTAGCTTGTCCGATTGGAGGCAGATACAGTTTTGTTCAGAACGCAAACGGCAACCTGGAGAAGTACCAGACCAGGATTCGGGGTGTGACCGACAGGCCTCGTAACTCCATCAGCTGCAGAATCGTTGTGTCCGAGTTCAAATCTTGCAGCCAGGACAGGTCAAAGATTGAAGTGGATGAGGAGTATTGTGAGAGTGTGGATTACAGAGGCAGACCTTTGGGAGAATATGGTGAGCCCAAATAATCCTTCATGATGACTTGCCATCACTCATATTTTATCTAAGAAGAAATTACTCTGGGTTGCACTTTAAAAAAAAATTATTATGATCAATTTAAAAAATGTTTTAATATTTGTAGATGAACCTGATCATATCCTCACATGCGTGGGTTTCTGGATGGAGGATATGAAGTCTTACATGATCACTTATGATGAGGAAGATGCTATTTCCAGGTTCCGTTGCTGGGTGAGTGCCATCCTTGTGTGTATGGTTCTGTATTACCTAAAAACAGGTCCATCTCCATGCTTGATTGATAGATGGGGAAAAAATGTGGTTTGAAAATCTCATAGCATAAGCTCTTAATAATTTGGTACTCTAAAGATAAGATAAGATTCTTTTATTGATCCAAATAAATGGAAATGTTTTTTGATGGCATTGTACATTTTCAGCTAAAAAATAAAACCATTTGAACACAAGATATTTATAGTAAATTATTTCAAACAGCCATTTAGTGAGTTCTCTTAGCAAAATCAGGGACTTATTAGTTCTCATTCAGATGTGTGACTTAGAGGTAGCATGCCGGTAAATTCATACAGATTGGGGAACGAAAGAATTTTTATATGTCAGTCCTCGTCCTGATTGAAAGAATTCGTCCCGAACGGCCTGATCCTAAGTATCTGTGATGAAGAGGGTGGGATGTATCATCCAAAATGTGTTTAGTTTTGCTCAGAGACATCCTTAATATGTGTAATTTGTTGATGTAGTTTTATTTTAGTTCAATTCTACCTTTACCCCCATCCCCTAATGCAGGCCTGGACAACTCAAAATGTAACGCGGGCCGAAAACTTAATGAAAAACTTGAGTGGGCCAAAAGATAATGGGACAGGACTTGTGTGGGCCAAAAGAAAATAGGACAGCGGGGAAAGCTATTAAGAAAATAGGAAAATAAAGAATATTTTATTTTGCGGGCCGCAAAGTTGGTGCTGGTGGGCCGCATGTGGCCCGCATGCTGTATGTTGTGCAGGCCTGCCCTAATGTGTATAATTTGTTGGTGTAAATATAGTTCAGTTGTGCTCTTACCCATCTCCTAATGTGTGTAATTTGTTGTTGTAAATATTTAATACCATTCTACCCTTATCCATCCACTAATGTGTGTAATTTCTTGATGTAAATATAATTCAATTCTACATATTTGCTTAGCTTATTAATCTATATGTGAAAGTTTGCAAATATAACATAATTAATGAATTTAAAAAAAATAATAGTCAACTCTTAAATGTGTTCAATTTATTTTAGAAATCTTATTTTAGCTGTAATAATTTCCACAGGTGTTTGAGCGCATTAGTTGGACTGATCTCTCATTGTCAAGAAGCCAGACGGCTCGCTGTAGGCGTGAACAGAATTCAAGGAGCTACATGATTGAAGGAACTGGACTGAACATGAAACTTACAGAAAGTGAAAGGCTATGTAAGTATTTTTTAAAAAAAAAATGTTTTCAAGATTTTCTTATTCAAGATCTGTTTTTATTGCAAACTGCACTGACTACTTAAATAAATTTTGATATTGGTGTTTATTTCACTAGATGATGACTGCCCTCAGCGTTTTGATCCTGGACTCAACCCCTACCTGAAACCAACAGTCATCTACGTCTTGAGTGGGTCACAGCGACCTGTTCTATCGCTGGCTGTTGCGTTAAACACATTGATTGTGCTTCTGGTGTCGTGCTTGTTAAACTGAGCGGAGAAAGGATGTGTAGAGTTTAAAAAAGATTGCATGTGGGTAGAGCAAGTGATCACATGGTGTATACTTGAGTGTGTATAAAAAAAAATAATAAGAGAGAGAGATGTTTATAGTTGTTTGGTTTTCAAATGTCATCAAGAAATAATTTTCATTGTATAATATGAATGTCATTTTAATAGAACTCAGGATTGTTTCTGTTGAGTTTAAAATGCTGTGAATAGATTTTCTTAAAACATTCCTCTGTTTAAAAAAAAAAAATGTATGGTATAGCTCAAATATACGAAAGTGTTAATATTTCTCTCTTAAAAATTATTTGAGGTTTAAAGTATTGAGCTAATTCTATATTTAGAAATTTAAATGACATATCAAAGGTATGCCTAAGCTGTACAGTGTAAATACTTAACTATTTTGAATTATCATGCCTAAAGCTGGATTGGATCTGAAACTGTATTATACAAATTTTATAATCACTTTTTGTTTTTTAAATATTAATTTTGTTTTTTGTATGGCCTATAAAATCTAGCATATATTGAGGCCTTTCACAACGTATGTGGTATGTGTACATGGTGTGTACGTGACTAAATATTATGAATAGTCTTGTGCTCAGCTGTCAGTACCAATAGATACTCATTAATTTTCTCCTAACTTTTTTGTCCTTTGAGTTCTGATATACTTCTGTATCTCTTTTTTTTCATTCTAAATTTTCTTTTTAATCCCTGTTCATGATCAAAGTCTGTTTTGTATGCAGATATGAGTGTCTTGAGATTTTGTATTAATTATATTGGTTACAAATGTGGATTGAAACAGTGGTATTTATAAAAAAAAAAACACTTTGATAACACTGAATCTCCTTATTTATAATTCAACACTTTCATGCACAAACATTAAATTTTCATTAATCGTTTCTATAAAAAAAAACTAAGAACAAAACACTGTGACAAGGTCCAGAGATAGAAGCTATCTACCACTACCGCATGGATCATGTTTTCAAGTGTCTTTTTTTTTTGTTTATTTCCTTTTTTTTTTATTCAGTTTTCTCAAACCAAAATATGAACTACCCGTTCAAATGTATAAATCTGGTGTTATAACACTAAAGAAACTCAAATGACGCTTTATTGTAAAAATTCAATTATTTTATTTTTTGCATGCTTTAAACAAAAATTTTATTTAATTTTTTTTTTTTAAAATTAGAAAACTATCTTCTACTGGTCTACTGCCATTTTTTTAGAACTGTTTTAAAAAAAAATATTTTAACTATCCTAGTTAAAGACATCCTACCCAGTGATATCTTGCACATGCTCTAAAAAAATAAGTCCATGTCATCGCTTGATTATAAACAAGCTTCAAATGGTTGTGTAAATACGAGTAAGTCTTTTTGGATGGAGTTATGTGCCTTTGAGCTATGCATATCATTTGTCCCACTTGTACAAAATACCTGTGCGTGTGTTTGAAACTGGAAGGCATCAATGCCCGTGTGTGAATGGATAAAAGGAAATTAATTTTTAGGGATGAATGTTGAAAAGGAAGTGTTGATGCTAACCTCACAATAATTAAACCTTCATTAAAAGTAGCCTACATATAAACCAGGAAATGAAATACATTCCATTGATGTTCTGCCAGCTGGTGTTTTTTTTTCCATAAAATTTAAAAAATAAATATTTCTCATTTTGAAGAATTGTGGTCATCCATTTAAATATTTCTGTACTACTTGTGTAACAATAATAATAAAAATGATTGCTGCTATACTTAATTCTTTTTTGAACACACAATAAATATTCTAAAATAAAAGATTTTAACCGGCAAAGACACAATTCAACTTGAGCAGCATTTTTTTCAGCGTGCAGTCTTTTTGGCAAGTGGTTTATATCCAAAACTAAAAAATACAATCCTGTTTTTCTGCAGTGGGAGATATGAAGTTGTAAAATAGTCAAATTCTCAGATCACTCCTGTTTACACTATTAAGACTATTATAGATTTTATTTTAACTCTTGTAGCCTAATCATTAAGGTCTTGCTAAAGGATGTCAAACTGGCATAGCAGTTGAGTTCAAAGGGGATCACATGGTCAATTTTCTAATGTATATTTGGCTATGCAATGCACTGGTTGTGTGTAAACAGATTTGGTGAGCTCATCTATGTGATGCTATTCTACAATGACCTTATCACATTTTAAGGTTTGATCACTCTGTTAATGCTATCAGAATAGGAAAAAACGCTTGAAAAACATGTATATATTTTTTTTCCCCGACTGCGACAAGGCTTTTAGTTTGAGGATAACCCTATATATTTGAGTAAGTCTTTCATCTTGCTTGAACATCCACCATTTCAATAAAGAAATTAGTGACTGAAACTTAACAGTGAAATAGAAAACTGATCAAGATGATTTTTTTTCCCTTGAAAGAAATAAATAGCATCTGTTTGCTTTTAGGAATATATATGTTCATTATATATCTTTCAAAGATTGTGCATGGCACCCATTAGACATTGTTCATATAGCACAATAACTTCATTTAAAAATAACAAGAATGGGATTACAAGCATAATTAAATTTTTGTTTTTCAAGACTGAAGAACCAGACCAAATTCTTTTTGTACATTCCTTCCATTTGACTCATGACTCATAAACTGTTTAATAATTGTCCCTAAATAAAAATGTATAAAAATGAATTGAATTCTTATTTTTTAATGCTTCGAAAACACCATAAAAAAAAAGGTCACTTTGAAACTCTACTGCACTGAATCGTTAAATATAAGGAATTCTATAAATGGGAACATCAAAAAGACAAGTGGACGACATGAACTGGATGAGCTTAGAGCGCTGCTAATATATTATAAATATATGGCAGAAAATCTCTTATTAATATATATCTTCATTCAAAGCTGAGCTGCATATTTCTAGGTTAACGTACATATTTTCAGCTCCAATTTTTGTTTCCTGCCTCAAATAAGTGAAATGTATTTCTGAAATGTATAACTTGGCATTGCATGTCGGCTCCATTCAATGCCTTAATCTAACTTGGCCTTGTGCGCCAGCTCCATTCAATGCCTTATTCTAACCTGGCCGTGTGCGCCAGCTCCATTCAATGCCTTATTCTAACCTGGCATTGTACGCCAGCTCCATTCAATGCCTTATTCTAACCTGGCCTTGTGCGCCAGCTCCATTCAATGCCTTATTCTAACCTGGCCTTGTGCGCCAGCTCCATTCAATGCCTTATTCTAACCTGGCATTGTGCGCCAGCTCCATTCAATGCCTTATTCTAACCTGGCATTGTGCGCCAGCTCCATTCAATGCCTTATTCTAACCTGGCATTGTACGCCAGCTCCATTCAATGCCTTATTCTAACCTGGCCTTGTGCGCCAGCTCCATTCAATGCCTTATTCTAACCTGGCATTGTGCGCCAGCTCCATTCAATGCCTTATTCTAACCTGGCATTGTGCGCCAGCTCCATTCAATGCCTTATTCTAACCTGGCCTTGTGCGCCAGCTCCATTCAATGCCTTATTCTAACCTGGCATTGTGCGCCAGCTCCATTCAATGCCTTATTCTAACCTGGCATTGTGCGCCAGCTCCATTCAATGCCTTATTCTAACCTGGCCTTGTGCGCCAGCTCCATTCAATGCCTTATTCTAACCTGGCATTGTGCGCCAGCTCCATTCAATGCCTTATTCTAACCTGGCATTGTGCGCCAGCTCCATTCAATGCCTTATTCTAACCTGGCCTTGTGCGCCAGCTCCATTCAATGCCTTATTCTAACCTGGCATTGTGCGCCAGCTCCATTCAATGCCTTATTCTAACCTGGCATTGTGCGCCAGCTCCATTCAATGCCTTATTCTAACCTGGCCTTGTGCGCCAGCTCCATTCAATGCCTTATTCTAACCTGGCATTGTGCGCCAGCTCCATTCAATGCCTTATTCTAACCTGGCATTGTGCGCCAGCTCCATTCAATGCCTTATTCTAACCTGGCCTTGTGCGCCAGCTCCATTCAATGCCTTATTCTAACCTGGCATTGTGCGCCAGCTCCATTCAATGCCTTATTCTAACCTGGCATTGTACGCCGGCTCCATTCAATGCCTTATTCTAACCTGGCCTTGTGCGCCAGCTCCATTCAATGCCTTATTCTAACCTGGCATTGTACGCCAGCTCCATTCAATGCCTTATTCTAACCTTGCCCTGTGTGCCAGCTCCATTCAATGCCTTATTCTAACCTGGCATTGTACGCCAGCTCCATTCAATGCCTTATTCTAACCTGGCATTGTATGCCAGCTCCATTCAATGCCTTATTCTAACCTGGCATTGTACGCCAGCTCCATTCAATGCCTTATTCTAACCTGGTCTTGTGTGCCAGCTCCATTCAATGCCTTATTCTAACCTGGCATTGTACGCCAGCTCCATTCAATGCCTTATTCTAACCTGGCCTTGTGCGCCAGCTCCATTCAATGCCTTATTCTAACCTGGCATTGTACGCGAGCTCCATTCAATGCCTTATTCTAACCTGGCCTTGTGCGCCAGCTCCATTCAATGCCTTATTCTAACCTGGCATTGTGCGCCAGCTCCATTCAATGCCTTATTCTAACCTGGCCTTGTGCGCCAGCTCCATTCAATGCCTTATTCTAACCTGGCATTGTGCGCCAGCTCCATTCAATGCCTTATTCTAACCTGGCATTGTAGCGGTCGAGGTAAGTTACGGAATAAGATTGGACCGATTGTGCGCCAGCTCCATTCAATGCCTTATTCTAACCTGGCCTTGTGCGCCAGCTCCATTCAATGCCTTATTCTAACCTGGCATTGTGCGCCAGCTCCATTCAATGCCTTATTCTAACCTGGCATTGTGCGCCAGCTCCATTCAATGCCTTATTCTAACCTGGCCTTGTGCGCCAGCTCCATTCAATGCCTTATTCTAACCTGGCATTGTACGCCAGCTCCATTCAATGCCTTATTCTAACCTGGCATTGTGCGCCAGCTCCATTCAATGCCTTATTCTAACCTGGCCTTGTACGCCAGCTCCATTCAATGCCTTATTCTAACCTGGCATTGTGCGCCAGCTCCATTCAATGCCTTATTCTAACCTGGCATTGTACGCGAGCTCCATTCAATGCCTTATTCTAACCTGGCCTTGTGCGCCAGCTCCATTCAATGCCTTATTCTAACCTGGCCTTGTACGCCAGCTCCATTCAATGCCTTATTCTAACCTGGCATTGTGCGCCAGCTCCATTCGATGCCTTATTCTAACCTGGCCTTGTACGCCAGCTCCATTCAATGCCTTATTCTAACCTGGCATTGTGCGCCAGCTCCATTCAATGCCTTATTCTAACCTGGCCTTGTACGCCAGCTCCATTCAATGCCTTATTCTAACCTGGCCTTGTACGCCAGCTCCATTCAATGCCTTATTCTAACCTGGCCTTGTACGCCAGCTCCATTCAATGCCTTATTCTAACCTGGCATTGTGCGCCAGCTCCATTCAATGCCTTATTCTAACCTGGCCTTCTGCGCCAGCTCCATTCAATGCCTTATTCTAACCTGGCCTTGTGCGCCAGCTCCATTCAATGCCTTATTCTAACCTGGCATTGTACGCCAGCTCCATTCAATGCCTTATTCTAACCTGGCCTTCTGCGCCAGCTCCATTCAATGCCTTATTCTAACCTGGCCTTGTGCGCCAGCTCCATTCAATGCCTTATTCTAACCTGGCATTGTACGCCAGCTCCATTCAATGCCTTATTCTAACCTGGCATTGTACGCCAGCTCCATTCAATGCCTTATTCTAACCTGGCATTGTACGCCAGTTCCATTCAATGCCTTATTCTAACTTGGCATTGTACGCCAGCTCCATTCAATGCCTTATTCTAACCTGGCATTGTGCGCCAGCTCCATTCAATGCCTTTTTCTAACCTGGCATTGTACGTCAGCTCCATTCAATGCCTTATTCTAACCTGGCAAAAATAAAGGCATGCAATCAAAATGAAACGTCCTTGATTAAATATTGCTGATAAAAAATGACTTACATTTCCCCCAAAAATGTTACCATTGAAAGCCCATTGGTCAAGTCAATTCCAAAAACTTGTCGAAATGCGTTACAACTCAGACGAAGATGATTATGAAACCACCAGCACAGACGCACAAAGCGCTCTGCTCGTAGTGCTCTATGAATACACACACCAGGTTGGCTTCTATCTTTCACCGCTGGCTAACATCACTCGCTAGTACTTAACCTAATTGACTTTAAATTTAATCTTTAGTACGATCCTAAAAGCTGGAAGCAGTGTTTCTACCTTTTCCTGCTTTTTTTTTATTTTTTAAAATGGACGTTACCAGCTGAAGCAGCATGTCAACGGGTGGTCCCATTTCAACCAAGCAAGCAGTCAGCGGGCCCGAGGAGTGCGATACTGTTATCTTAAAGCAGTAATGATGTCAACACAACAAAGACCCCCCTTAAAAATTCCCCCCACCCCCCAAAAAACTAACCACCTTTACCGAAAAAAAGTATTACTTTTAAAATGTAATTGCATATTGAGTGAACATTTAAATAAAATAATCAAAGATTTGGGCCCACTAGACACGATTGTTTAAAAAAAAAAAAAGATTTGTTACTTGGCAACAACACAAATTTACATTAAATTTTGACTTGGTGACGTCATTTTTGTATCGGTTAAAAAAAAAATGCCGCCCGAAAGTCCCCTGTGCACGTGAAAAGGTCCTTAAACTGTTCAGCTGTTTTGAGTGTAGTCCGTTTGGCTGGTCTTTACTAGAGTTGTTCATGGAAGCCAATAGGAGGACAAAGTTTTGGACTTGACTCAGACACCTCACTCTGAGGACTTGACTGAGAAACCCCACTGTCAAAACTTGACTCAGAAACCTCACTGTCAAGACTTGAGCCAGAAACCTCTCTGTCAAGACTTCACTCAGAAACCTCACTGTCAAGACTTCACTCAGAAACCTCACAGTTCATATGTTTAAAAGTGCAACATGCATACATATGTAGGTTTTATTATTATATGATCATGAAGAACCTTAAAAATGGTGGCCCCCCAGACACAAGTTCCGGACACTTGAGCCTAAGTGCTCCACTGATTATAGCTGCAGCCATTCATGCAATTTCACATTTAAAAAAATAAATATATATATATTCTTATGATTTTACAACTTTTCATTTGTCTGTCTTCACAATCAAAAAAAAAAAAAAAAAAAAAAGCAATGTCCGGTCAGGTGCTGTTGTTTTTCCCTCCCCATAAAGATAGGATCCTCAAAAACCATTTGAAATTTGGGGCTACCTGCGCCATCTTGGTTCCTATCAATACTAGGCAGTTGTAAAGGGTCATTGAGGCCAAGATATGAACCATTGTTATCAATTAGAAGTATTGTGTTGTTGGTCCGCCTGCTATCTGTGTGTCTCTGTGTTTGTGTGTGTCCTTTAACTGGGGTCGCAGCCTGCTCCCAGCTAGCACAGAATCCAATATGGCGTCAATTTGGGAGAGGCCAAGGAAATGCCGCCATGAATGATCAGCCTTCGGATTGAACTGTCAGACACGCTGAACTGTCAGACACGCTGAACTGTCAGACACGCTGAACTGTCAGACACGCTGTTGCTTCTTCGGCAGTTGGTATTTATTTTTTGATCAATTTGTTGAAAAATAAAATTGAGGTCACCAAATCGGACATAAAACGCTACCGGT